AGACTACAGACATTACACTTATGTTCTTGACAGAAATACACAGAGGCCTATATTATATACAACAGAACGTCTATGAAAGAAATAATTAGCAACATATCAATGGGTTTGTTCTTAATGGTTGTTACTAGAGCAATTATGTGCTATTCTCAAACTTGTAAGCATGTCTTGTAACATGTTCTACAACTCAATAATGTTTAGGTAGAAAGTTGATTGAAGTGTTTCATTCCTTGGCAGTGTGCGAGTGCATACTGAGCTATGCTATACATAAATTAGACTTTTAAGGAAAAAATTCACTTTTAAAAACTCTGGTAAGAATTTATTATCTTGGCAACGTTTTGAGCAAACGCTTTTTTTTCAAGCCAGAAACAAACCTATCAGTTAATGAAAATTACATGAAGGTTTTGAAATGAAACAATACACAAAACAGAATGTAATTCGAGATAGAACTACGAGAAGTAAACAATGTAATAAAGCCGGTGATTTAAAAACAGTATTAAAAATTATTAGAAATACAGAACAACTGTACATAGCAAGGAAAGAAATAACTTAAATATTTTAAGATAATAAATGAAGGGTATTAAAAAAATTGTAAAAAGCTGAACTGTTCGTTAATACCCAAAGGACTTAAACGACCAGAGTTAAAAATTTATTTCTTTTTTGATTGTGGTTCTTTTATTGATGTTAGAGGGGGCATGATGTATGGCAAGTACTTTAAATTCCTCAAGAGAATGATCAAATGTGTTGAAGTGCCAAGCTACTGGTTTATCTTGATCTTTAATCAAGATGCTAGGTAAGTGTTCTTGTGTATGTTCAGTGAGCATACGGCCCAATTCTCCTATGTAGATTTGTTCACACAGATACAATAAAGTAAAGATTTAGATGTACAGGTGATATGGCTATTCACGAATACCTTGATTTAGGGCCTCTAACAGATGTTCTATGATCAATGTAAGGGCAAGTGTTGCATCCGCTCCTCTGACAACTGTACGTACCAACTTGAGTAGCAGATGATAGTTGTAGTTAACTATGGATGAGTAAAACTTTAATGTTAGTGTCTCGTTTATAAGAAATTATAACTTTGTTAGGGAACACGTGACCAGTGGTATTGTTTTGTGTTATGATGTTGAAGTTATCAAACAATATACGTGTTATTTGTGTGTTGAATGGGTATAATGTAAGTGTAAGGGGAATGTGTTGATGATCAGTGGAAGTAGGAGTACATGGGTTGAAGCAACATTAGATGCGTGTAGTTGAAAGTTTAGAATTGTCTACACTGTTGGTGATATAATTACTGATACGATTTAAGCTAAGCAAATTCTGGAAAGCTAAATTCAGACGTTTATTGTTAGTATGTAGATTATCTTTAGTGTGATGAAGAAGTAGATAAATTTGCTACGTCGGTTTGTTTTTGTTCTAGCTACATTCACTAAAGAAGGACTCGTTTTCTTTGTTCAATTCTTTCACCAACCCCCCAATACACACCTTCTGTCTCACTGAACTATTTCATGAAAGTATAAAAAAAGGTTCTCTCTTATTTGCCTATATTTAATAAAAATCTATTTCATACATCCAAACTAGTTTGTTTGCACACTGTTTTACTTGAGAAACATTTATTCTACATAAGGAATTTAATGTTTTGGGTAAATAAACATAAATATACAATATATAGACAGTGTAGATATGTTATACAGCCAAAACCACTGAAGCAACTTGGTGCCTTGAATAATGGAAATGGAATTTCAAAACCAAAACAATTGTGTGAAGCAAAGAAATACTGTAACTCGTTAGTTCCATGTGGAGAGGTTTCACTTTAAAGCTATCTACATAATGGTAAAGTAAATACAAGTGAATCCCATCTTTTGTCAAATTTCTCTCTCTCTCTGAATGTTGAAAGCAGGGCTACAAAAATAATTTTTAAATTTTTAATTTAAACCTTTTCCACTTTTGATTGTACAGTTTGAACTTTTTTTCCTCTGTTCATTTACTAACATTCTAGAAAGAGTCCAGTTAAATGCTATTCACAATTGGTCTTAGTAAATTGTTTTTGTTTTAAAATCATGGAAACAACCAGGAAGGTAGAAGCCATGTGTCACATGTAGACCTAGAAGATGTATCTTCTGAAAAAAGGCAGGTTTTTAGCAAGTATCGCATATTTACATACAATATTTGAAAATGGCATCTTTTGAGATTCCAACTTAAAAGTGGCCATTTTTCAACTCAGTTTTCCACTAACATTAGTATTAGACAACAACAATCTTCTATTAAATGTGTAGTTTCTTTGTTGAATTGTATAGAGAAGGTTGTTAACTTTCACAACTGACAAATTTTTATATAACTCTCATGT